GACCCAATGGTAGTCGCAGAGTAATTATTGTTGTGGATTTGTTACGGCCTTGGCCAGTGTGATGATCTACCAAACCCGACATTTGCCAATGTCATCAATTGGAACTGGCGAAATGGACGAATTGCCCGTCAGTCGATGGTGAAAGATTTTTTGCGTGAGATAAACAATCGACTGACCAAAGGAAGTGACATTATTTATTGAGGAACAATATATTGTGACGGAATATTTAAAGCCTCCAGAGATTTTTTTCTCGGTTGATCTCCATCTCCAGTTCTACTTCTGAGTTATCAGTTGAGAGAGAAAATGAACACATTAATATTTATTTTCCCCTGCTGTTGATCATAAACCAGAAGCGAATAGCTAGGTATTTAAATGACAATATGCTTTGGTCCAATTGTGTCCAATTGCCACTCAAATTTCCCCCCAAAATAAACTCGTTGATAGGAACCCGATACGATTTTCATTGCTGAGTTGATAGTTGGAGTGTCATAAGAATGAGCGCAAAAGCATGTGTTGTTGATAATACAGCAACTCTTGGCAATCATTTCTGAATCAACAATAATAGTTTATTTAGCCCATGGAGCAAACACAGTAAATGGATATTTAAGCACAATCTTCATCTCTTCTCTAAACTTGCTCTGCGTCACCACATAGATACACGTGTTTGTACAGGAGCTCAAAAATTGAAGCATAAAACCAACCTGTTGGATGGTGAAGCGGGTGTTAACGATTTTCTCTTCATAGTTGTAGTTCGAAATTGACCATTTTACCGAATAAACAACGTTTGTCATCCACAGAAGTACGAAACTTCCCGATACAGCGAAGAGCAAAACGATGGATTTTCTCCGTTTCCCCATCTCAGGATCATTGTGTTTATTAGCATTGCTGTCACCTCGGATTCTCCTCCGGGCTCTGTTGGCTATTAATATGTACCTGACCGTCACAGCGTTGATGAGGATAATGAGTACGGATACTATTATTGGATTGAACACACGGATCAACCATTCGTACGCTCTCCAATATGGTGAAGTGTGGTAACTGAGTTTCTGATTGCAATATTTTGGTTTCTTATCATCTGCGTCAAGGGGAACAAAAATAAAATAAACTGGAATGCCCTGCGCACAGCAGAGCAAACATACAGTTGCAATAACCAAACTCGCCGTTTTCACCGAACAATATCTGTTTTTTATTTTCTGACAACAAATGGCGACATAGCGATCGAAAGTAAAGGCGAGTGTTAACCAAACAGAACATCGAGTGACTGAAACCAGCAGAACGGTTCTGAAGCTGCACACATGAGCATAGTACAAGAAGCTAAAAATATAATAAATGTTATTGATGCGATTCAGTATCACATCAATGATGATAACCATTAGATCCGCCACTGCCATGGCCACCAGATAGAGAGTGACGACAGTAGAGAGACCACACCTTCCCCGGGACAGGATTAAAATCGCCAACGAGTTCACTGAAACAGAAAAAAATAATCGGTTATTAGCTGAGCAGGTTCGCACATCACAGCTTGAATCAGATTGATGATCACAAGTTCACAGCACATCTTGGGGCAAAGCGTACCTTCCTTTCCTTTCTTCATAGCATAAACCTTATTTTTGTTTGTGTTGTGCGTTTTTGTATATCTGTTACTTTCTCTGATGGCTCCACTAATGTTTTTTTTATTTCACTCTTTCTATCAGTTCTGCTTCTTGGAGTAATGTCATGCGACAGGTATCAGCCACCGGACGTGAATGAATCGGGATGAGGCTATTGCCAGCGCCGGGATACCATTCCTGGCGACTTTCCGACATAGAGTTTTACGCCTTGAATCCTGAGATCCCAGGATTAAATTATTTCCTGAATTCTCATGCAAAAAAATCAACAATTTCTCATTTAAATTACTTTAATATGAAAAGTGCTTCTGGGTCAGAACAATGTATAAGTACTCTTGACTCTGAGACGTATAACTCTATATCGAGTTGATGTAACCGATATCCAGCTTTAATGATTGTCTGTTGCGCACATTGACTGCACTGTTGGCCTTCAAAATGCCCAGTAATTACATTTTACATTAAATAAAATCAGTTAATTAGCGATGTTCTGCTGATGTAAAATGAAATGATTACAATGGCCATTCCAGGAAAAAGGAAAAAGAACCATTTTAAGAAAACATTTCATGACAAATATGTTTTGCCTCCACAACAGGTTCTGAAGTTTGTAGGTTACCATGAAGCTCTGACAACTTACCTGGAACTCCAGTTAGTGCAATGATCGGGTAATAAATTGCTTCTATCTCATAGATTGCTGGAAAAGCCATGATGTGGCAGCAGCCAGTGTTTCGCTGGCGAAGAGAGCGACTCCAAATAACAGACTATGGCTTTGGGACACCGTGTAATTTATTCAGATGGCAAACCCCCGGGAATCATCCGACCTGCATCATTAGTCACGTCACTCTCAATCCCTGGATATTAATATAGGGAGGCGTCATCTCTGTTATTTAACAAAGATTGTAAGAAAACACATTTTATTTTAACTTCTGGCATTAAATATACCTGTTTTGAAAACGGATTTGATGAGGATATTCCGATTCGTATTACAGTCGATTTGGAAAAACAATCATTCTCTGACATTGTTTTGATGGGATAGTGAAAGTCACAAAGTCACAAATCATCCCTAACGGATGATTGTTCCAATCTCGACGCGCAGAGGAAGTTTTCCAGACAGAGCTCCAAATAGCAAACTGTAGGATTTTAGCTGGTGAGGCCACAGCATTTATCGCAATGCACAGTTCGAGGTCGCCAAACCCTGCGTCTCGCCTGCCTGACCCTTGTGCTCATTGTGATCAGGTATCAGAGACAGTGCATATTCGTCAGAATCACAGAAATTTCCAAAGGTCGGAGGCATGAGAGGAACTCATCGTCTGGTGTGGCAACTCGTAACCATGGTGACGGTTTCCAACACAAATCTAGCCGTACCCCCCCCACCCAGCCCCGCCGCATCACCCATTCATAGGTTTCTTTCCTCGGGCTCTGTAACTCACAGATACCTGTTACCAAGGTTTACTCACTCCAGGCCAGGCCTCTGCAGTTTAACCAGCTTCTGGAGTCACTGTCTGGCAAACTTCCTGCTGCTTTTTCCAACTGTAGCACCAGGGACAACGACAGGACCGAAGGCAGCCATTCGACTTCAGGTGTCTGTGATGATCCTTCAAGTGTATTCCTGTCAGTGCCATTTCCCCGTCCTTTCCCCCAGATGACAGTCAATAACTGGTGTTTAACCATGTGACAAGCCCAGTTTTGAGCTCCATAATTTCGTCAATAGAACAGTAGCGAATTATTTGCCCTCTCCTCTGTATTTTTTTTCTCAGGGATGTACCCGTGGGAGGAGGACCACAAACCAACAGCGTCACATGTGAGCAAGAGGTTTCCTTGGATTGAGCCCAGAGTTAACACAGCTGGTCACAAACAGGCCTGGTCAGCCTTGGGCCCGAGCACCACAGAAGCTCATCGCTGGCTTATGAGCCTCCCCCAAACCAGAGGCTCTCTGACGCTGTCTCCCGTCTTTTCTCTTATTCGATGCATCTCCACTCATCTTCTCTTATTGTGTCTGTATGTCTTACTTGGCGTCGATCTGTGTTTCTGGAACTTTCCTTCTTTCTTGGTCTGCCTATGGTGTCTTTCTGTGTGTTTGTCGATGTGTGTGTCTGTCTGCATGACAGTCTGTATCTGACGTTCAATCGATTCGTTCAAATTGAGCCGCTTCAAGTTTCTGTCATTCAGATGAGAGGATAAATCGAGGTCCCTTCTTCCTGTTCAGAAGGACGTTAAAGATCTCGGGTCGGTCTTCAAATCAGTGAATTTGGCTTCCCGGGCAACAGTCTCTCTCTGGCCAACAATCCGCCAGGAAAAATCGTTCACACACTCTGTGTGTGTGTGTGTGTGTGTGTTTATTTGTGTGGATACTGGGCGCGGCTGCCTCCTGTGATTCATTCACAAAATGCACAATAACTCATCTTAACCGTCAATGTTTTGAAACGCTTTCGGAGTTTTTGAAGTCGTGATGTGGTGTTAATTCAAGTGAAAAGATTAATAATGTATTACTGTTGGCTTAATAATCATTGTCATGGACATTCATAATTATTCATTGCAATGATTGATATCTTTAGTAACATTACCAAATAGCGGTGAGTTGGTTGAAATGTGCTGATGTTAAATCCCATTTCGGTTTGTTCCAGATGCAACTGTGAGAATTGTTCCACGGCCGATGCCTCCAGCGGTGAGTAGTGTCGGCCTTATTGGCACTGTTTCCGCCAAATTCAGGTCCTCTGTAGCTCAGCTCATACCCAGTTCCAGCTTAGCTCAGACCATGTGTCAGTTTCGCTCAGGCTTTAAGCAAATTGGCTCAACACAGCTCGGGCTCTGTGTCACTCTGGCTGGGCGGCAGCACTTTCGCCTGAGGTAGAAATTCATGGGCTTAACTCGAACGTCGGTACATTGGGAATATTGAGAAAGAGAAGGGAGAGTCTCCCATTTCCGAGCCGACAAAAAATGTTCGCCCATTGCACAAAAATAATAATAATCCTTACATTCGCCATGGATTACGTACATGAGGAGAATGTCTCAAATAGCTTCACATGACTTACTGCATAGAGAAGTGACTGTGCGTTTGCAGGACGTTTCTGTGCACAATTTGGTTTCGGCGTTTGTTTACGTTTATAAAGTTCCTACAATTGATAATAAATTTTGTAAAACACTTTGAGCCGTTCTGTCAAGGTGAAAAGCATGTATGTGTTTTTATGTCTGTGTGGCTCTGTGTGTGTCTGTTTCTGTGTGAGTTTCTGTGTGTGTTTCTGTATGTGTGTGTGTGTGTCTGTGCGCGCGCGCGCGCGATTCTGCACGTCTGTGTCTGAGTGTTTAAATTTTGCATTCAAACAGCGCCATTCGTCTCAGAAGGAATTCTTACATGCAAGGTTTTATCATCACTATTGGCTCTGGTATACTGACGAGGAGATTTGTCCGGGTTCAATTCTCCATTGCAGGAATGTTGACATCCGTATGACCATTGGGGCTGTTGGTGGAGGGTGGACTCACATTTTGGAGCTGTGAGTCCGGGTGTCCTGTGTGGTGAGGCTGTGGTGACGGGGATTTTCCACTGATCTTCAGCAGATGTGCTGATTCTTGATCTATTTGCAGGATGCTGGTATCATCTATGCCAATCTGGCCTTAGGAAACAGGAATGAGCAGGACGGTGAAGCCAGTGATGGAGATGGTCCTGTCTACGCCACAGTCAGAGTTTAGTGTGGAGGCCAATGACCACGACTTGCTTTATTTCCTCGCTCTATCAGCCCACCATCCACTATATTCAATTTCACCTTCATTCTGACATCAACGGGGCTCTTACATCACATCTCACGCTAACCCACATAGAGACTGAGTTACACACTGAGGAATAAGGAGCGAGGGAGTGAATGCGTAAGAGTGAGAGAGTTTGTGAGAGAGAAAGATAAAGGGAGACCGAATGAGAGACAGAGAGACTGAATATGTGAGATGGAGTGAGAGATTGAGGGAGGTACTGAGACTGGGAGAGCAAAGGAGGGACTGAGAGAGAGATTGTGATTGAATGCGACTGAGCGATTGAATGAGAATGAGTGAGATACGGAACGAGAGAGAGAAAGAGAGAGAGAGACAGAGAGAGATTGACTGCAAGAACGTCTGATTGCGAGAGAAACTGAGTCAGTGGGAGTGAAAGACTGAGTTAGATAGACTGAGTCAGATGGAAATAAAGAGTGAGATTCTGTGTGTGAGAGGTCGAGAGATTGATTGACGGAGAGTCAGGGTGTGTGAGAGAGAGAATAAACAAGATGGGTTGAGGGTGAATGCTGGAATCAGAAATGTTATTGCGTAATTGAGAGGGTAATTTAGAGGGGAGAGCACGGATAGATTGATACAGGGAGAGTGGGAGAGGGCAGATAAACAGTGCGTACGGGAAAGAGGGGCGAGTGAGTCACAGAAAGAGGGAAACAGGGGTAGGGAGACAGAAATTGAGACGGCGAGAGTGAGATCGTGATTGAGAGATAGAATGTGGTAGAGAGGGTGAGAGAGGGACATAATGAGGGAAAGAATCAGGTAGGAAGAGATCAGAGGGAGTATGACAGGGTAGAGAGAGTATGTTTGGGTGGAGGTGCGGCGAAGAGAGGGTGTGAGAATGTGTAACGTTGAGAGAGAAAAAGAGGGGAAAGGAGTATGAAAGGACAGCGAGAAAGAGTGGGGGGGCGCGGAGAGTCTTAGTGTACAGGGAGAGTTTGCACATCCAAGCGATTCATATATCAAAGCCATTATATTGATCCCATTAACATATTGCAGTAAAATTTGCTAACCCGTAGCAAGTATTAATTTCATATGATGAACTCTAGCAGTTTAATTTTGTGTAAGCTTTCTAATCTTTTATAAAATTTTACAACTTAAAATGAAATGTTTATCAGTTCATATTTCACCGCACGGTCACAAATTTAGTAACCTTACCATTGGCGAAAATCATCCTAAAAACAGCTCTCAGCGAGAACGCTGGATCAACTTGATGGACTTAAAACTTAACTGAAATCAGCTAATTAACTTAATTAATTTAATTAATTGACCTACTCAGGTTGGAAGAGGTGACAATGACGTGGCAGATGTTACGTGAGGAGTGTGACATGTGGGACCTGATGGAGGGCAGTCTGAGCCCGGGTGACCACATCTGCAGAAGATGTCTGCAACTGAGGCCGCTGCAGCTCAGAGTGGCTGAGCTGGAATCCGAGGTTCAGACACTGTGGAGCATCTGGGAGAGTGAGTGCTTCCTGGATACATACATCCTGGAGCCAGTCACTCCCCTGCGGGAATATTTACTCAAATTGATTATGATCAGGAGAGGTCAATGGACAATCAGGAGGCAAATATGAGATCCTTGGAAATTGTATCGACAAGGAAGCCGTTGAGGTTGAACGAAATCTGCCTATAACACTGGGGCAAAAGAGTGGATGGTTGCCGTCATTGGGGACCAGAGCATTAGGCAGAAAGATACAATCATTTGCAACACCAACCAGAAAACCACAAGGATTTGTTGCATCCCTGTGGCCGTGGTGAAGGATGTCTCTGAAGGGCTAGAGGATAATTTAAAATATTAGGGAAAGGATCCGTTTGTGGTACTTCACATGGATACCAATGACATCGGAAGAGTGGGCCAAGATGAGTTGAGGAGAATTTGATGAGTTGGGGTCCAAATTGAAGTCGAGATTATCGAAGTTGATGGTATCGGGACTACTGCCTTTACCATACGACAATTGGTACAGGAACAAACAAATTAAGGACTTGAACGCATGGCTAAAACAGTGGTGCGGAAGTCAAGGGTTTCATTTTTGGGGCGATTGGTACGAATATTGGGGGAAAGAGAACTCTTTCGTAGGAAAGAGCTGCACTGAAATCGTACAAATGTCCCAGCTAACCGAATTTATTATTATTATTATTATTAACAGCAAAATAAATAGGAATTTTAACTCATAAAGGGGACGCATATATAGGTAAGTTAGCATTAGAAATAGTAAAGATGACATTGCAGGCTAGCATGCCAGATAATAGGAATATGTTAACGAGGGGTAAGAAGCTTTGGCAAAGTAGACAAGGAATCATAGAGTAGAGCAAATGATAGGAAATTTAAAAAACGTTTTTTCTGAACGCACCAAGAATTCGGAGTAAAACTGATGAACTAAAAGCACAGATAGACACAGATGGGTTCGATCCAGCAGCCACCACTGAAACATCGTTACAAGGAGATGTAGGGTGGGAGTTAATATTCAAGGGTTCTTAGTTTACAGGAAAGATAGCACTGTGCAAAAAGAGGTGGGGTGGGGAGGGTAGCGCTGTTAATTAGGGATAAAATAAAAGCAGTGGGTAGGAAGGATATAAAATCTGATGACGAGGAGATCGAGACAATATGGGTGGAAACAAAAAATAATACATGGCAGAAAAGAAAAATGGGAGTGGTTTATAGACCCCCAAACAGCGATCACAATATAGCACATGGTATCAATCAAGAAATCAGTGGAGAGTGAAGGAAAGGTAAAGGGATAATAGTGGGTGGTTCTATATCCACAAAGATTGGGAAAACCAAATCGGCAAAAGTAGTTCACAAGAAGAGTTCATTGAGTGTATGAGACATAACGTTTTAAAGCAGCATTCCGAGGAACCACCTAGTGAAAAGTCCATCCTAGAACTTGTTTTGTGTAACGAATAAGGGCTGTTTAGCAGTGTAGGTATTAATATGCTTCAGGGCACAGTGATCACAATATGATTGAATTCCGCATTAAGCTGGAAAAGGATATATTTGAATCCGAGGCAAGTATTCTGAATTTAAATAGGGCTAATTTTGTAGGTATGAGGAAAGTTTTAGTTAAAATAGACTGGAGAATAAGATTAAAAGGTAAAAATGTAGACAACAGTGGCAAATATTTAAGGATGTGGTGCAAAATTCTCAGTCGTCGCATGTTCACTTGCGGACGAAGAGTACCACGGGAAAGCAATTCATCCGTGGCTTACTAGAGCAGTAGGGAAAGCATCAAATAAAAAGTAAAGGCTGATAAAACTGCCATGAAAAGCAGCAAATCTGAAGATTGGGAGAGTTTTAGAAACCAGCAAAATAAAACTAAAAACTCATTAAGAGCGAGAAAAAGGAGTATGAGGGTGAGCTCGCTGGGAACATTCAGTCTGATTGCAAAAGTGTTTACAAATATATTAGCAGAAATATGCGAGGGAGTGCAAATGTAGTTACTCTTCAGTCAGAGTCGGGAGAAGTTGTAATTGGGGATAATCACACGGCAGAATCCCTAAATGGGTACTTTGCATCTGTCTTTACCATAGAAGACAGAACAAGTCTGCCAACATTAGAGATGCACCAAAGTGTTAAGGACAGGAAGCAATTAAGGAAATATTCATAAGTAGAGAATTGATGCTGCGGAAACAGTTAGCAATAGAAAGTGACAAATCTCCTGGTCCGGATGACTTGCATCCCTGGGTTTTAAAGCAGGAGCTTATGACATAGTGGAGACCTTGTGTCTGATCTTCCAAAAATCCTTGGATTCTGGAACAGTCCCGATGGATTGGAAGATCACAAATGTCAAATCACTATTTAAAAAAGGTGGAAAGGAAAAGATGGTGATCTTTTGGCCAGTTTGTCTCACATCAGTGATAGGAAAACATTTAGAATCATTGACTAAGGATGTGGTAGTGCTGTATTTAGGGGAGCACAATATAATTAGGCCAAGACAACATGGCTTTACAAAAGGGAAGTGATGTTTGACGAATCACATGGAGATTTTTGAGTTTATTTCCAATAAACTAGATAAGGGTGAATCATGTGGTCTAATTGGACTTCCAGAAGGCATTCGATAAGTTGCCACATAAAAGGTTATTCCAATATATGGGCCCATGGAAGTGGGGGTAGAATATTAACGTGGATTTGGGAATGGTTAACCGGTAGGAAATAAAGCATAGGGATAAAAACGGGTCCTTTTCAAATTGGAGGGATGTGACTAGTGGAGTGCCGCAAAGATCAGTCCTTGGGCCTTAGCTATTTACTGTCTACATTAACGACCTAAATGAGGACATCGAATTTAATATATCTAAATTCGGGGATGACACAAAACTAGGAGGAATTGTCAACACAGAGGACGACATTTAAAAAATGCAGCGCGACATAGATAGGTTAGGTGATTGGGCAGGTAGGTGGCAGATGAAGTATAATGTAGGGAAGTGCGAAGTCATCGAACTTGGTAGCAAAAACAGTAGAGCGGGTTATTTTTTAGAAGAGGAGTGATTGGGATGTGTTAGCGTCCAGAGGGATTTGGGTGCCCTTGTACACCCATTACAGAAAGTTAGTCTGCAGGTGCAGGAAGCAGTTAGGAAGGCGATCGGTATGTTAGCATTCATTATGAAAGGAATAGAGTATAAGAGTCGGGAAATCTTCCTGCAAGTTTATAGGGCCTTGGTGGGAACACACATGGAATACTGTTTGCGATTTTGCTCTCCTTATTTAAATAAGGATGTACTTGCCTTGGAGGGGGTGCAGCGTAGATTAGCTAGATTAGTACCAGGGTTAAAGGGGATGAGTTACGAGGACAGGCTTACCAATTTGGTCGTGTATTCTATAGGATATAGATGGGATCTTATAGGAACCTATCAGATTATCAAAGGGCATGATAGAGTAGAGAGTGGGAGATTGTTTCCCCTGTTTGGGGATAATAAAACCAGGGATCACAACCTTAAAATCGGTGGCCAGCCCTTTCGCACTAAGTTAAGGAAGAACTCCTTCACTCAAAGGTTGGTGAATGTATGGAACTTACTATCCCAATGGCCTGTTGACGCTTAGTGCTTGAACACATTTAAGACTGAGATAGATAGATTTCTTCTTGCAAAATGTATTAAGGGATATGTCGATAAGGCAGGGTTAAGTTATCAGCTGGAGTAAGATTAGAAGATCAGCCATGATGGAATGGCGGGGCAGGCTCGAAGGGCCGGATGGCCTACTCCTGCTCCGACATGTTATGTTATATTACGGCTCGTTTAGTAAATGCAGGTAATTCTGTCCTTTGAGATCCTGGAGGAAATTGGTTTCTTT